ATTTAACATCAAAGTAAATAAGAAATTTAAAAATTCTTATTCAATTTTGGAATGGTAGTCCTAGTGTGCTTCCTATATTCGATTCGGTATCTATTCTATATACAAAAAAGTTAATTGTTCTTGTCATGTAAATAACTTCCAAGTTTAAGTCTAAAGAAACTTCAATTACTTATAAAGCCTTATTTCTGCACAGTAAGTCCATTTAAACTAATACTTTAATTACGATTATTCAAATTCTTGTTATTTAAATTTGAATTAAAGAGACCTAGAAACAGATTTTTTAAGGGAATAGCTATAAGTAGTTCCTAGCTTTTTCTTCCTATGGAATTCTCTAAAATGTTAATGATTAGAGTGGTTAAGTGAACTAAGCCTTACTAGTTTAGTAAAATCATTTAAAGATTATGCCATACAAATTCATTGTTCGAAATTTTAGAAAACTTTATTAGTGCTGAGTATAGCTTTCTAAATCTCACATTTTAGTTAAAATAATTTAAATATTTTCCTCTCCTAACGTACTGAATTTTTAAACTAAAATTTTGTTTTAAAATTTGATAGATTGCTATATTCGGGTATTTTGATAAGTGAAATTTCTGTATGAGAGGAAGCAGCGTAATTATGATACTGCATAGTAACACTTATTGTATTTAAATTCTAAATATACTGTATAAGTCGTTTACCGTATATGTAAATTTAATAGTTAATGCTAATCATAATAACCCCATATAGCTAAGCGATGTCAGTTTAGACCTGCATTTTTACTGTGCTGATCACTGATTTGTGTGAAAGGATTTGTGTGTGTTTACGAATAGGAAGAAGGAATAAAAACTAAGATTCTGTTAGAATTAGTGCCGCACAAAATAAGTATGCTTTTGAATTTCCATCCCTTAAAATTGTTAGGACTAGTGTTTCTCTTGATTTGCGTTGGAAACATGAATGGTCCTGAATCGGAACAGGGAGCTTACTCAAGCTATGTTCAAGAAAGTGTGAAGTAGACAACACAAGCAGAAGGGGTATACGAAACCCTTTATTTTCATCTTTTACAGGATCTCCCGAGCTTCGATACAAAGACCACCACTTGTGGTTCTGAACGTAAGAATATAAAACTACTAAAAACTAACTAAACTAACTTTGAATTAGTATACAAATGCCTAACACTAAGATTGGCCTTTTTAAAAAAAGGCACGTATGTAGTACGCCGAGCTGCTAAAACTACGATACGTTTGCAACTATCAAGAGAGCTAAACCTCTGGCCTTAAAGGCAACCAGAAACAGATGAAAACTCGTAAAACTACAGTGGCAAGCGGCTTGCTTCCTAAAAACTCCTTCTCTCTTTCGCTTGGCAAAAAGCCACAACTTAAGTACTTGGCGTTATCAAGACAATTTGCATAAACAAGTTAAAGCATTTAATTCTGGCCGGAAGTAGAAAATAAGAAGTGATAGTACAGTTTTAAAATAAAATAAAAGTTAGCAAAACTTAGGATCCTTACAAAATTTAACTTAATATGCAAGAAGGATCTGATATCCGAGCTAATTTTATTTTCGAGTACATACAGTATTTTACTACAAAATAATGTAAGTGCAAAATTCTAACTGAGGGTTACTGACGCAGGAGTTTGTAAATTTGGTTGTAGAATTTTGCGGATAATTTTATAAATCTTTATATTTTATTCTAAATTGTGGATATTCTTACAAATCAAAAAAATTATGTAAGAAAGAACAACTTTAAAGAAAATCTGGATTATTACTGAGATGTTTCCTTCTATGTGTATAAATAAGTTCACAAGATTAGAAGAAAAGGAATTTCTTTTTCGATTGCTTAGCTGCGGAATTAGGTTAGAGTTGGTAGTTATTGTGGACGAACGTCTAAATACTAAAGCAACTAGTAATAAGCAACAGAACCAGTGTGACGTAAACATATTTGCAGGATTAGACTTTTCGAAGGTTAAATACAATATTATTTCTAATTCTCAGAAGTGAAAATGATGGCGGGAAATAATCTGCTCACATGAGAATAACAAACAGAAATTCCAGAACCTTCTGGATAATGATAGACAATGAAGCGGCATCTATTCACATAAAAGTGAACCATGAGCAACTGAATACAAATTCCTTAAAAGCTACGGGTAAAAATGGATTAGAATTAAAATCTTTATGCAAAATCGCAAGATTTATAAGGATGTAAAACGCTTCTAGGAAATCAAATTCAACAATGGAAGATAATGTTGTAAATTATTTCGGCCGCTGAAAAATGAAAAATGTACTGTTTTTTATTAGCACAGATGGCCAATAAAGGATTTATGAATTCCTTTTTTTTCAGGGCATATGCCTCCTGTTCTTTTATCACAAAACTGCATGATTTTCATTGATTGATCACTGTATATTAAACCACAGTGGCAAAGAATAATGTACACACCTTAAGAGTTCAATCCGAGTACAAATGTTTCTGAAATTACCGATCAAGATTTATAATTTAAAGTTTTTAATTTTATTCTGTTTTACATCTAAGATCTGTTTTTCTTACCTTAAAATATTATTTACATTATTAAAATTTAAAATACTTTGCCCTGCCTACTATTTATATTTACATCTAAAACGTATTTTTTTCTAATATAACGATATTAACTGATATCTCACACTTCTGTTTCAGTACTTTTTTTAAAGCGTTTGAAATCTTGAATAAATATGCAATACAAATAATCTTCAACACTTTAATCATGTAGTCATTTCCTCTACAGTGGTCACTTACGCAAAAGACCAAAATCGGTTAGAATAGCCGTGATCGTCTTAGAGTTCACTGTATTAGATTTTCTATAGTTATCAACAGAAACTAATTTAGAAAACATTTAGAAATAGAAACTATATTTCTAAAAATCAATTCAATATTAGATCAAATAAATGAACTGTTTTGCATAAAATGTAAAAATAATTAAATCAATTATTTTCCCTATAAATCCGAAATTAATCAATTAATTAAATCAACTTATTTTTTCCCTATAAATCAACTGATCAATATAACAAAGCAGTTAAAAGAAATAAAAATAAAATAATTTAATTAGTTTGATTGTAAAATTTTAATCAAAGAACAGGACTAAACAAAACTCCGATGAAACTGGAAATAAAAAATGATCGTTATTCAAAAGTTTTTCATCGTCGCTTTTTTTCCCTGTTATTTTTGATAGAGCAGTACTGGCGTAAAATATACCTAATAGAACTGGTGTACACTTCAAATACGAGATTTGCTCAATTATTAATTTTGTTATAATTGAATTCCATAATGCAGCCATATTTAATCACAGATTATGTTATGGCTTGAAAAAGAATCCACATGAATGGTAGTTATATGTTTAAATGAAGAAGAATGCACTAATGTGCATGAAGAGATAATTCGAAGAAGAATATCCGGCCAGAGGGGCAAGATTCTCAACACTGTAGCAAATATTTAAAGTAGGAAAGCTTATTTATTGCTTGCTGAAATAAAATTTTTACATATCTGACTTTTGCTTAGATTACAGCATTTTTCCCTCTTACTTTTAATTAAAGCTCTTTAGCTTTTCAAAATACCGGGTGCCCTAAAAGTCTGTTAACATTTGAAAATTCAATAATTCACAGAATAATGTAGGTAGAGAGGTACGAATGGGAGGACTACGACCTGGTCTAAAAACAGACCGTATGATCTTGTTTGGATCACCTCTAATTATATTAGGTAGAGAGGTAAAAATTGTCGCACATGCTTGAAATGACATGGGTTTTTATTTAAAGTATAAAACGTGCATAAAAAGACCAACATATGGCGGTAGGCAGCAAAACGTTAGTGATTTTGCATGAGAATCGTGTATGAAATGAGCTGTAGGAAACAGGAAATCAGTCCTTTCATGGCTTTATCACTTTTCTATCCTTGCCTCCGGGTGTTGGTCTCACTGTGATATGGACTTAACACATAAATCGTGATCGGTCCCTTTTTCTTTGAGGAAGTGCTTTTTAAACTGATAGTGTGCCAAGTACGCCGATACGATACAGTATCGCATCATCCCTAGTCTGGTGAAATACAACCGCAGGAAGGTACGACTTTTATGCAAAAGGGAGCTCCACCCCATATTGCTACACGTGTCAAAGATCTCTTGCACGCATCTTTTGTGGAGGATCGCATGCTGAGTAGCCATTTCCGTCATGCTTGGCCTCTTAGGTCCCCAGATCTCAATTCGTGTGATTATTGATTGTGGGGTTACCTGGAATGCCAAGTCTACTGCGATCCTCTGATCTCATTAGGGATATTAGAAGAGAAAAGCCGGCGGCAATTTCTCACCATCCCAACAGATATGCTGCGCAACGCTGTTCACAATATCTAACTAAGCTACCTTGACTAAGCTACACCTTGACTAAGCTACTTTTATTAAATGATGTCCGAAATTTTTAGCATTTGTTAAAAAGAACATCGCCTTTGTTAAAATCAATTGTTATGCTAATTGTTGCTTTTGTTATTATATGAAGCGCCATCTGTTAGCCGTTTTTAGCACTTTTATTTTGCTTTCAATAAAACCTCATGACATTTCAAGTATGTGCGTCAGGTTTTACTTCTCTACCTACATTGATTCGTGAATTTATTGAATTTTCAAATGTTAAGGGACTTTTGGGTCACTTTGTATATAATACTTATAAAAGTAACTTCTTTATGTATTCTTTACATATTATATTACAAACTTAGAATAGAAGAATTCCCAATAGAATCCCAGAACAAAAATGATTTCATTTGTCATACAGAAAATGCAAACTCTTAAATGGCATGCTACTTGTATGCGCAAACTGTCACTATTATTTTAAACTAACAATGCAATCTGTGCATTTTCAAAATATATCTATTAATGTAACAGTTTACAAATTTGATTAGATTTTTTAAGTACGAAAATATGACACTAAACTACTGTTTGTGTAATGCATATACTGGTTCAATTAACATGATAAATGCGATTAAGCTTGATTCAATATAAGTATTCATACTCATACACGTTTTATATACAAGTTTATTTCATATCGCTCATAAAGTCATACACAGAGCTCTTTCAAAATGTTCTCTTTTTTGCTTTTACATGTTATATCAAAATTAATGAAGATGGTATCTTAAGATTAAAGAAAACAACATGAAGTACATATTTGACAGCATTATGATAAGTGAAACATGGCCAACTACAAAATAATTTTCAATTATTATTTCAAATAATAATGTAGATACTGTTTGATTGAAGAATTCTTATACGCAAGCTATAAAAACCGAATAATGAATTTTGAAGTTTCATTCAATGATTTTTAAAGTAGATAATTCAATTTTTTTATTGTTCTGCACATGTATGTTTCTGATGTCAATAGAAAAACTATTGATCACATGACATTCTAATTAGGTTTTATAAATAACAATTTGAAAATGTAATTGTAGTAGGCCATCAGTATGAACAACATTTCTATGCAACAGCAATGAAAAATCTTGATGGAAACAAAATCAACAAAACACGCAAAACTGCAAAAGCGTAATTCACAGTAACACTACTTAAAAGGAACATAAAATCAGTTTTTCTACGTAACAGATGAACTACAATAATAATAATTGAGGATGCATTCTTCTTGGAAATCCTGACTGCTTTAATGAAGTGAATGTTCTGAACCTTCACGTAATATTATATTTGTTCACACAAGAGACATCACGTACTAAGCAGTGTCAGAAATAAGTGTATTTTAGACTCATTTGAGGTACATAATTTGTTTTATATATCATAAAGGTTTCAATAAGTAATTCGACATAAGAAGCAATTTTTAAATATTTGTAGGAAAGGTGACATCGATATCAAACCAAGGTTTAAATAGTTTATAGTAAATATAACGTATTACTTTTATCATTTAATTTTAAATACGAATTCATAAAAACGATATTTTTTTTTCTCTGACAAATGAAACACGAGTATTTTAGAGTGCGTACAAAAATTCTCACTTTGCAGATTGCCTCCCACTATACAAGTATAAGAACCATAAATCATGTAAACACGAAATTTTTAATAACGAATTATTTTAACAAAAGACATCGCTATAACCTCCAGGAATATTTCTAATATACAATATTACAAGTTGCGAAAGTAAAATAAAAGCCAAAAAAGTTTCTCACGCAATTCAAATCATTTTCATAATTCTTATTAAGGTTCTTCACTTAATTCCAAATGTTCACACAAAACAAGTAATTAATATTTTACAAATTAATATTTCACTTAATTTAAGCAGTTTATACTATATTTTTAATACTTCGAACAGTGAATACTTTATTTCGAAAATTTCGGATCCAAATTTATGCTCTTTAATAAAAAAGTTATCAATTTCTAAATAAAACACACTTCTACCTGCATCATTAGATTTATAATTTAATTATATGTTATAAGGCATTTAATTATATGTTAGTTAAGTTTCATTAGCATGTATATACGTCGAAAATTCAAAAGAAAATGTAGTACATAAAATTATTCACTATTTATTTGATGTTTTAATATTTATTGAAATAAAAGTACTCTAAAAATGTTAATTTTTCTTGATAAATACCAGGTTTTTTTTTCTTATTATTCTTAATTGTTCAGGTTCAACAACTTGTAGATGTAAAAAAATACTTACAGATAAAAATAAAGTGCATGACATAATCTTGACCATTGGAGCTCATAAAAGTACGGTATAAATGAAAACTAAATTTAAAGGATTACGACTGAACTCTGAATTCTCGAACTGTTATCCGAATGGTTAGCTGTTATCCGAACACTGTGATACTGTAAATCGTAATGTTCTACAATCTAAATTATGACTGTTTAAATACTAATGATGATCTCAAATATCAGATTTAAAATGATAACGAGAATTTACAATCTGTTCAAAATGAACGCGTAAAATTAAAGCAATTTTAATACTAATAATCCAGGCAGATCAAATACTAAAGCTTTAAATTTTTAGAAACAGCTACAAAATGATTAGTGCAACAGAACACTATGCATAAAACTGGTCATGTAGCTCTTATAAACTATATATTTTTAGAACTGAAAACCAGTTCCAGGTATTTTCAGTGAGTATTCACGAGTATAATTAATCAAAGCAGATACGTTTTTATTACGAATAAAGATAAAAATGTTTTAAATTATCGCTATGCAATTAAAAGCAAAGCGTTTTCAGTGAATTTCATAACAAAAGGTGTGTTCAGTAAAGATAAAACTTTATATAAATTTTTTTAACGATAAGAGATAAGTATAATTAATTCAACTTTCTTCATTTTTGTAAAAAAAAATGTTACAATAAACAACAAGAAAATGGAAAATGTCATTATTGTCTCCAGAGTTACCACAAATTGTGCATCTTTAGTAAGGAATAAACTCGAAACTACTTATCTAATTAACCCAACTACGGCATATTCGGAGAGTCTCGGACAACAATTCTCTCATTTAAAATGCTCAACTGATAAAACGTAACAATTTTAACAGTTTGACAGAAAGCTTTACAAAATATACCTTTTGCAATTCTATTTTTTATTATACTTTTTATCTAAGATTAAATATTGCTTATATCTTATTCTGCAGCAAAATTTTGAGAATGGTATCTATATGAAAATTATTGCAAACTTATAAATTTATCATTAAGTCAAATTTATCCCAAATTACTGAATTTTTTACATGATATACCTCTTATATTATCTTGAATAACATTGTAATATTTTAAATTAGATGAAAGATTAATTAAGTTTAAAAATAATGCTAGCTATGGACCTTACCACACGTACAGATACCTAATCTATGCTATAAAAACCTTGATATGATATTTGCTTCCCCAATCTATGTGATGAGAGAGGTAAGTGTAAATGTTTGAAAGAAAAAACTCGGCATGCTTAAAATCAGTCTTTGGTGGACGAAAAGGACGACTAGAAACACTAGACAAACCGAGCATGAGACAGTATAAAAGTAAAAGACAGGGTTTCGTACAAGAATTATAGTATCCATTCATGAAGCCATAAGAAATATATAAAAATGTTTAAAGAAAATGAGTACAAAAAATGAATTAAACATACGCGAAATTTTTCATAAAATATTTACATAATATAAAATCAAAACAAAAAAATCTCTAAACAATACAGTAACTCACTAATGAATACTTAAAAATAAATTCACTCAGGCAGTTGTACATACTTTAACACGTTAAGCATCATAATATGAAATAATAGGAAATATACTGGGGTATTCTGTAATCATTTGTTAAAAGTTTAAGATCTACAAAGTGCCTAATGGAAGGTTGAAGAAATAATGCCGAGGAAGCGGTATTTTAAAGCGTTAAACAGAATACAACAAAACTGATTTAACTTTCTATTTATATCCAAGTTCCATATTAAAATTACGAAAGCATACGCACATATTCATGCACATAGATCATAATTCTGTTGTAAAATGTGATCCATATTTACATGCTATATACTTACAAGCTTCATGTGTATTTTGTGTAATTTAAATAGGTCTTTTGGTAATTTTAAACCCTGCATAGTTATTTAAAGGCTAATTAATTATAGCCCTCCTTTTACGAGACTTTGTTTTGTTCATTTTTAAAACTTTTAGTTCATGTAATCTCTCATACATATCTACCGAAAGGTTTATAAAGCCGGGGAAGGGGGGGGCGGTAGATGAGACATACAAAAATAAACCGCATAACAAAGATAAATTTTGTAAGACATACAAAAATAACATAAAAGAGGATTTAGTATTTCAACAACAAAAAATACGTACTGTAGTATATAGTACCAAGCTTAATACTAAAATGACCAATCAGTTAGGAATTTTTATCGAGCAAACAACTTACTTCAAGAAGTAACTTCAGAATTCTAGAATTCACAACTACTACATTACTTCAGCTGATGGCAGTGGTAAGCAACATACAATTTCGTCGCCTATTTTTGCATTTATATTCATATAAGAAACTGTTAATCAAAACCAAATGATCGGCCATGGAAAATTAATGAACTTTTGTGATACAGTGATTCTCATAAATATCATCATTATTTACATGCTGTACATGAGAATTTTATATTAGTAGGCTACCACTTTCTGTTAGGTGAATGTTATGAAATCCTTGGATTATGATCTGTGAAACGTGATTTGTTAATAACAATTAGTCATAAATAAAGGTGGCACAAAAGCTGCTGTGTGTATTTAAAAACAGGCGATGATTACTCTGTACATTTCCTTGAGTAAAGTAATATGTTTTTTTATGCACAACATATAAACGTTTCTTTTTTTAACTTTTCTTGATACGGATATGCTATAGAAATAAATGCCTTCCTTTGCTCTTCTCAAGGCTGTGAGAAATATTTTTATAGCGATTTCAAGGTTAATCAAGAAATTGCCAAAGCTTAACGTGCTAAAATATTAACAATTTTATGTACAGAAATTGAGTTTAGAATGCATTGCTAATATTTTAGCAAATATTAGCAATGCATTCTAAACTCAACTTCTGTACATTTTTCTCTTACTGCCGCTTCAAATCATTTGCTCTTTCAGAAAGTAGGTAAAACTACTGAATGATATAGTCCTTGAAACGTTAATAACTAAATATAATGCAAATATACATTTCAGACAACGAAATTATTTTAATGAAGGGAATATTGCAAATTTTTAAGCAACCGAAATTATGAAAAATTATCAATAATTTCTGATTAAAAATAAGATAAACTTTGAGGACAGATAAGATAAAGGTTTGAAGAGAAATAAGATAAAATTTGAGAAAAATAAGATAAAATTTGAAAGTTTGGGAAGATTTTTTTTTTTCCAAAGTTTTCCAAAATAATGGTTCTTTGAATAAAGTAACATGAATTTTGAAAATTAAATTTGACGCACTTAAAAAATTTGTATTTTTTATAATATTTGTGCATCACATACAGAAACGTTTTGAACATACATGGTAGGATATTTTTACTGCTCAAATTAATAAGTTTCCATTATTATACTTAATTTTGACTGGAAGAGAAACTTAAACGTATTTATCTTAAACAGCATTGTCTTAAACTTTATCAAAACTAACTTTACAATTATAATGATTGTGCTTCTGACAACGAAATATAAATAAATAATTATAAATTACACATACTTTGCATTGAAAAAGCACACAATAGTTGCATAAATTAGAATTAAAAATTTATTCTTTATTCTAACACACTAAATGTTGTTTTACTTCTAATTTATTGATCCTGTGACAAACTTTAATCTCATAAAAATAATTTGGAGTACACCATTACTAATGGAGATGCAGATATAGAAAAGAATTTCAACGTGTCAGAAAAAGTACCCATTTTCAACTGAACATCGAAGAGAATATACGTTGTACTAAAGAATAACAGTTTGTTGTATAATTCAAGCAAACATTTTCTAGTATTATATGCAATTTTTTTTCAAAGTTATAAAAGTATTTTGGAAATGAGAAATGCTACACAAATGTCATTAATTATCTCCAAAATTTTAAGAGAATTCAAAATTTGGTTGCTTAAAATATGCAAATAATCCCATTGAACAAAAGGTATTTTTTTTAATTTTTTATTTTCCTGAGACACTATAGGGTTATTATAAATGAGATCAAACCCTTATCAAATTATTCTAACCGCGTGCGTTTTAGAAGTAACAAATATCTAACATATGGCTTCACATATTTTTGCAAACATAACATATTAATTTATAAAGTAAGAAATGCTGTATGAGCGACGATCATAATCATCAAATAAATAACAATAATTTAACATCAAAATGTTCTTTCAAAATAAATATAATCACCGTGATAAATGTCGGAAATTAACTGGCCAAATATTAAATTCAAAATGAAATTATTTCCTTAATAAGTTTCCTTAAAATGTCATATAATTGATTAATTAATTTTAATTAAAGCTTTTCTCTTACTAAAAGTACTGGATATAAATCATTCAAAAACTTTATTCTAGAAATTAATTGATCAGTAATTACCTTAACATTTCAAATTAATTGCATCAGCCAATATATTTCATGCTATAAATACAACATGACCTTTCATGCTATAAATACTATGCAACTTTTAAAGCAGAAAATTAATTTTACATGTAAGCTAAAACGAAATAATCGTTTCGCTTCAAAGACGGTATTTTTACAATTTGCACAATTCATGGATCTGTGCAACATAATTATATCACCAAAGATATGCAGTGAATTTGAAACTTCGATTATTGCTTATATTATAGATAATTTATATTTAACTCTTTTCATAACGTATTCTCAAAACTAAATAATAAGCATAAATTACTTTAGTTGCAGAGGTTCTTTCACACGGTTCCAGTTATCCGAATGAGTATTCACCGAGTAAAAACATTTGAAGATAAGGCACACAAAAGAGTTCTTCGAAGCACGAGTACAAAATTTGAGCACCACAAAATCGTTTCAATAAAAGCTCATCAGTGGCAGGATAGATATCCACAAGACAGGGCCACTCAGCTCACTAATATGCAATATCCTCCAGTTCACAAATATGATAAACACATAGGCCTTAGGTAAGGTCTGTTGAGCCTTAATTAAAAAGACACAATAAGAGAAAGTTTTCACTTGTAGGTATGAGTGATGAAATACGGGACAAATGGGTCACGACTTTCTCCTATACACGTTGAATAATATATGAGAAGCAAATACAGTACGCAGTGTGGTACAGCAGGTGAAAATCGTATCCACTTGGATGAAGGTTCTATGGAGTGTCCCCAGGACCTGTCCTAAATCCTGTTTCACTGCTAAAGTATTAAAAAGACGAAAAGATATCTCACGGCCGTAAATTAAGAAGCCAAGGAGATTTGCAGAAGCAGCTGCCCTTCGTGGATACACCAGCTTGCTGTTGCATGTAGTTGCCTTTTCAACATCCAGCTAGGCCTTAGTCCATTGGTCATCGACCGATAACATCCAGTTTTGTAGATTCTTTCGAACCTAATAGGATATAATTAATATACAGGGCACTTGGTAGAGCTCCAAGTTAAACAGAGGTACTTTGTCAGACGAGGTGTCCGTCCATCTCACTATGTACAATGACCCCTTCAGCAGGTCCGGGGGACATGTGATTGCACTGGTTTGGTGTCGAATGCATGGGTGAACCTTGTAAGTGGGGATTGAAAGTGCTGAGTGCTGGTGAAGGTTTGGACGAAGTGCCTCCTGGAGGATAGGGAACAAAATGACGGTCTTCTGTGTCAGGAGTGTAGTGGACTTCTGCACCACTAGCTGCTGTTCTTCCGGGTGGAGGAGGAGGATATACACCTTTCTCGTAATTCTGAAATAGTAAAGCAAAAAAAATTACAAATTATTAAACTTTCATTCTTTATGAATACTTAAAATTTATAAAAATTGTTCCTATCAGGAAGCCATTTCACACCAATAACTTACTTAAACTTATTTCCAAACAGCTAAATGTAATTATTATCGTCTATAGTTACTACTGATACCCTTTTTAAATTACATTTTATTTCCACAAATCTGTGCACGTTAAAGAGTTACGCACGGGTTATAATACCCTTTATATCAAACATAAATTCATGGGGAAAAACCTCAGTCATACTATAAATAAAAATATCACTATTGATATAAATTGAAAGGCGTATTTATATTAAAATTGTAAGTCAATCAGAATTGAATGTGCATTAAAATCTCTTGTTATCTACGAGTAACAAGTTCACAATCAAGTAATATTTATAGTTGCTTCATGACTAGATGAGATCCTGATTGCCACTGATGAGCAAATTTTTGCACTGCTGCCGATTAAATTTGTAGCAAAAAGGTGCATGATAATATACGTACGTTTACTTTAAAGACTCTTTATAATGAAAAGATGCAATCATTAAAGTTTTAGTTATGCTGGACAATAGAATATGCTGTAATCATTTCTGAGTGTGGTCACTGAGAAAGGGAGTCATTGCTCTATAACGAAATATACATTCGAACTGAAGTTTGAACTGAATGGTATTTTGAGATATTGCAGTCCAGGTAGCTGTAATTTGTTGCCAGAATTATCCTGATGTAGCTGCTAGTTGCTTTTGTCATGCCAGTGTAAGTGACACATAATCCAGCTAGCTTAATCTAGAAAAGATCTAGTAAACGCGTCGAGCAAAGCAAAACCGTAATTTGTAGAATGCTGAAGAAATACCTGATGTTGGATGCCAACTGTGGTTGCGCATTTTTCTGCTGGTAGGCGATCCTAGATTGCCTGTACAATTATGGAAAAACCACACAGTGCGTAATGCAAAGCTGATTGATATGAGACTCAGATATACATACCATACACACAAGTGGTATTCGCATGCAGTCACGTCCTATATTACCAATGCTGTGCTCTATGATAATGCATAAGCTAGTATTATTGTACGCAAACTCTGTTTCACCATTGCAACATATTTATACACATACATCTTCCTTGTATTCATCATGACATCGCATGCAAAGCGGTATTCGTTTGGAAAGACGATGTCTCGTAAATCATGCGTCCATGTACTCCGTAATGCAGCCGCAGACGCGTGTGATGTGTTGTTAAAGCTAGGCAAAGCAAGAGCCGTCGTGAAAACATTCCGTAACCTTAAAGATATTGTACTTGCCATGTTGCACTCCGTGTTAACTGCGTTAGTCTTTGTGATGTGGTTATAAGATTTATGTGAACATTCATGCAAAATGCCTGCCTTCCCTTCACGATCTTTGGTGTTTTCAGATTGCTGAGAACCTGCACGTTATTCATTCCCTTTTACATGGATTCCTCTAATCCATATTCGCATGACAATGATAGGATTTTGACTAAAGGCAGAATTTTCAAATATTACAAAATTATATAGCACGTAGCTATTATTCTTCTGCGAATAACATCGTACAAATGCTGAAGTACGTTAAATCTTCTTACTCGTGTGCTCTGATCTACATTTGTAGTCAACTAACAAGAAGAAAACACGATTTTCATATGGAAAACTCATCCTCTCTTTTGTTTTGCACTGCCTTTAGACTGCGTCGCTGACGTGTGTTATTCGTAGATGTGCCGCCCAGACAGTATAGTGATTAGGTGAGTTTATTGCGATACCGATGAGTCCGGGTTCGAATCCCGGAGACATGGATGTTTGTAAATGCATAGTGTCCTTGTGTCATGTGGGCACTTTAAATATATGGCGAGGCCAAAGTCCTCCCGAGAGGTTGATGGTAAGGGAAGAAGGGTGGGAGACCCTCGGGGTGCTCTCCATCATAATTAGAGCGGAACTGAGCGAAGTCGTACCGCCACTTGTATGGTGCTCAAGGCTCTAGCAAACGACAGGTGAACACTCCTTGCCAGGATGAATTTCTTAAACTTGTACGGATAGTACTATCAGACAAATGAGATAAGTCATACAGCAACAACATTCGCAGATTCGCTGCATTTCTAAAATTTTTTTTTCTTACAATGCTCTATTTATTATGAAAATTTCACCTTGATCGACTGCGTGTTGACCTTTTAACGTTCACTAATGCGAGGAATTAATATACGTATTTATTCATGCTGGCCTCTCTGCCCATTCATTGACGAAATGGGAACCCAACGTTCTATAGTTAATAGTACTTAATAAATTGCAACATGGTCAATGAAATATTGAAATACACAAGAAATAATTATATAATACACTTACATCGGGTCTTTCTCCGAGTTTTAAGTTGTAAGCGTTCCTTCTCAGAGCGTTTGTATAAAATTCATCCTCTGCTCCATACAGAAGTTTATTTGGCACGCCTCCACTTCTTTCGTATCTGTCCTCCAGGTTCACTGTACAGAAAAGAGATGGAACTGAGCGTTAATGCATGAAGTAACAAAAAAACGTTCTGAATAATAGACCTCGACACAAATAAATAGTGTCGTGAAGGAACGATAAATCATCCACAATGTGCTAAAGGAGAATCAAAATTCTCTCCTTAACATACTTTGGAGATCATATACTACAGATGGTTATGCAGTACAGAAACTTATGAATAACATAGACATACTTGCTCTTCCATTTTTCAAATGGGCATCTTTACTAAAAATAGCATTTTTATATAGAGGACATCTAAAAGAGCTTCCAAACAGCGGTATTTGTAAAATAGAACCACGGAGCCTCTTTTTAAACTTGGGTGCAGAAACAAAATTTGAAATGCTCTAGGAATCTCTATTTTTTTTTAATCTGAATACATCTAGAATGATATTCACAATATTAATAAAAGTTTTGTGTAAATCTTATAAAAATTTAAATAGTGATATAATATGAAATAAAACGTTCTTCGAAGATGAAACGATCTTTACATGATTGACTTTCCTCTAATTACTTTTGACCCACAATTAAATCCGCGTAAAACTGGGAAAAATATATATGAGTATTCTAATCAACAAATAAATATCATCCAATTATCATCACTATCAGAGTAGCTATACTTCTTATAATTTTAGTTTCAGTATCATATTTTCTTTCTTTTTAGAGCTATAACCTAAGGCGACACTACCGAATAGTTTTAATTTAAACATCCAGGTTTTACAGATTTTATACCAACAGAAACGAAGCATATTTTCTAAAGTAACAAGTGTTACAGCAAATAATTTTCTTAATCCTGTATTTAATAGAGAAAAATCATGCTATCAATAAAATTGAAACAAATCTGTTTCGCCTCAAAACGCCTCTTTATAAGAAATCTATATAATAAGTTTTTATTTACTTTTTTCATTTTTGGGAGAGAGGAGTTAATTATTTTAAATATTAGGTTAAAATGTATTTTCTCCCTCCTATCCACATGCCTTCGTGTTGAAATTGGAAGCCTACTCTACGCGTATTCGAGTGGTCAAGGGTTCGAGGCCCAGCGAGGACACTGCTCATTTTTTCATGTTTCCTGCTTCAGAAAAACCGAATGACTCTACAGTGGCACCCGAACTAAAAGGTGGCAAACAATAATTGGTCACCACCAGAATCTGGCAATTGGGTCTTATAATCCCCAGTCGTCCTTTAAAAGGAGGAGTATGTAAGGTATTTTCTCATTCCTTTCCGCATGCTTTCGTGGTGTAACGGTAGCACGTATTCGAGAGGTCCAGGTTCAAATCCCGGAGAGGACACTGCATATTTTTCACATCTCCTGCTTCAAAAAGCCCTAATGACTCTACAAGGTTTATTTAAATAGTTACAAAAATAAACAGGTTGCTGCATAAAATCTGAAAAAGAAGTTATTTTTGTATATTTATCACCTGGATGAGTTGTCATATAAATGGTTATTACCTTTTAAAAGGTGTCTTAAACTAAAAAAAAAAAAAAAAATAGCAACATAAAGGTAGTCGGATTAAAATTCAAAGCAATTTGAAACTAATAAGAATCATATTAATTCTTCTTTGTTACACCAGACATAAATGGGAAATAAATCGTGGTATATTTCTTAGATATCAAATATGTCAATTTTTAAACGTAAAAGGAATCTCAATAACTAACTATTCATAACTGAAATTAAAAAACTAAACTAGAAACGAATAAAAGCGAAATCTAAAATTATATATTCTGTTCTCACATCAAAACTATCCATGAGACATTTAAAGAAAAAGAACAAATTGGAACATAGATCCAGGCATTTTTAAAGGCAATGCGGTTTGTCGTCAAAATAAAACTTTACCATATCAAATAATAAGAAAATTCTTGCAAATAGAATTCGCAGAAGGAATTTTTTCCGCCAAAGAAAAAGAAAAGAACACAGCAAAATGCATTTAAATGCGACACCCCTAGCAGCAGGTGCTGTACACTCCTAAATTTTTTATGTCTTTTGTATACGCCAATGCCCATCATAGTTCTTAGAACCCCCTTCCATATTTTCCTCTCTTCTTTCTACTTAAAACCTATCAGAATTTGTATTTTTATTTTCGAATTTTCAAGACGCGGAGGAATTCGGTGGTAAACATTCCATCTTCGTCGCACATATTGATTTCTTTTCAAGGCTACCGCCCAATTGCCACCACTCTTCACTTCTGCTATTGCTGAATGTTTGAGAGAACAAAGAAAAAGAGGAAAAAAATTCTAAAATGTTGCTAACTTTATTCCAGCATTCCCAGAATTCCTATCTCCCACCAGTAATAATTTACATCAGACAGATAAATAGCATTACGCTCGAGTATTTCCTGTGGCTAAGCGAAAAAATAAAATAAATGGTGTTATTTTCCAAGCGACAGAAATAAGCATTTTGGTGAGGTATATTTAAATAACTCTATATGTCAGAAAAGGAACACTTTGATTACCAGTTTTTTTTATTATTATTATTTTTTCCAGATCCTTACCTTCCATTCAGACAATCACCCTTTCTTAAAATAAACGGCAACCATTACATAAAGTATGGATTTCAAATGTTGAAATAAACATGATCTTACATTATGCTATGCATTTTACTGTACGGTTTAACTTTTCAAAGACTCTGTAAGAATGCTCCCTGTGCGAATTTATGATGTTAAAATTCAGAACAATGAACTTCATTTAAAAATATTTCTATGAAATTGTTTCTATTATTTGTTATTAATTTATAATCCTTCTCTTCTTCCTAATAAATTCCTTTCTTTTTGAGAACTCACATTCGAATTAAAGCAGTCAACAATTTGTCCATCCTTTCGCAGCTACTCCAAATTTCTAGCAGAAGAAATATTCCAAATTTGTCGAAAGATATGCCAAAAGATCCAGAGATATGAAAACTTTGAAGACTTCCTTCTGTGGGGAACCTATATAAAGAAGTTTAGCCACATATAAAGCCGAGTCTTTATTCTATTCTCCTGAGTGTTTGCTTCATCCTAGATAGCTAAAGCTGCAGAATTTTTATTAGTCTTATCAGGTTCAGTGTTTCTCCTTACTTGCTTTGGGAACATTAAATGACCTGACTCGGAACAGGGAGCTTACTAAAGCTATGTTCAATAAATGTGGGAAGTAGACAATCACACAAGAAGGGTATACAAACCTTTATTTTTCTCTCTTTACAATGATTCCGGACTTCGGAATACAGACCACCACTTGTGTTAGAACGTAAGAATATAAAAATCTTAACTAAACTCTAACTAAACTAACTTGGATTAATAAAAAGTGCCTACTTGAAGATTGGCCGTATATAAACAGAAAGTCGTATGTAGTACAGAGAACTGCTAACACTACAATACGTTTAAAATTATCAAGAGGATTAAACCTCTGGCCTTGAAGGCAACCAGCAACCGAGTAAAACTGCTATGGCAAGCGGCCTGCTTCTAATAGCTCCTTCCTTTCTCTTGCTTGGCAAAAAGCCACAACTTAAGTACTTGGCGTTCGCAAGACAAATTTGCATAAATAAGCTTTTAATTCTGGCTGGAAGTAGAAAATAAGAAGTGATAGTAAAGATTTAAAATAAAATAAACGTTAGTAAAACTTAAGATCCTTACAGTCTGACTGATTTATTATCATTTAGCGTTTTCTGAGTGTTTCTGATATTTTCCTATGCGTTTAACTGTATCTAATAAACATGAAAAAGTTTGATTACGTTCTTGATAATATTATCAACGTCAGAGGTACTTTGAATTACTTTAATGTTATATGGTTTTGATAAATACCGAGTAATATGATATATAACTAGATTTAAAGAATTAACCTATGTAAGGTTTTGTTGTTTGTGTTATTTATTCGTAACAGCAAGTATAAATGAAATTATATTATTGATAAAACTATCTCGAAATAAAAACTTTTGAATTAAAAAAAATTCTCTTCAAAGGATAATTGTAAGTGACGAAGTGTTCTATAAAATACACATTCTCTGGAACGCTCCGAGTCATAGCTAAATCGGAAATTAGATAAACAGACGTTACATTCCTTGCATAAATTAAATAAATAAACAAAACCAAATTTTATTTAATTTAATATTTAAATAACTGAACCGGTTTCTTTAAATAGAACCCTTAAGCAGCTATTCATCGTTTCTTTTTACAGATGTACTAGCTAAACAAGAGATTTCCAAAAAAAATCAAATGCCTTTTTTTTCCATTTTATTCTTTTAATTAATTAATATTATATGATAGCCAGAATGAATACCCTCAAAAAATCTTAGGTTATTTTTTAATTTTAAGTGACTATATATTATGCTTAATTGTTTATGAGCTACAGAACTTTATCACTTCAGGAGCTCAAAATGTAACAATGTTACTGCTAAAAATATTTTGCCCAAAATGTTACTGCTAAAAAACATTTTCACAAAATGTTACTGCAAAAAACAATGTTACTGCTCAAAACATTTTGCACAAAATGTTACTGCTAAAAACATTCTGCACAAATTTGATTAAACACAAAATGTGTTAAATCAAATTTGAGCAGTTTACCTGACATTAACTTCTTTATTCATTTGTGCAGTTTACCTGATTCTAACTTCTTAAGTCCTTAAATTAACTCAGATGCTTTCCTTATATTAATTTATTTACTTTATTTAGTTTTGTTGAATTCTTTGCAATTTTTAGAACGTTTTCAGTTGTGTGTAACTACTATTTCTTTTAAGGAATGAAATTTTAAAAATCATTCTTAAAAATTACAATAAATTATGTCTGCCACTTAGGATAAATTATCAGCTGCAGAAATTAACTTCAGCATGATTAACAAATCTGAAAAACATGTCTCTTTCCTGACGGAAAACATAATTTTCAAACTCTAATGCAACAGCAAAACCGCTCTTACCTTGGTCTGGATATGGGTACGGACAATAATAAGGCATGGAAGTATCAGGGATGTATGTACCATCTCCATGTGATGTTATATAAGCGGTAGTTTCAGATTTCACTTGTTCCTCCTAAAAATAAAAAAAAAAAAAAATACTCTTTAACTTAAACTTCTTTATGACTACACTCTTACATAAAAAAATTGTTTAGGAAGTTTGTTATGATTGTTTATCATGAATCCTATGAGAAGCAGATTGATAATGTGAAACAGCATGGACAATTAACAATTAATAGTTCTACACTTTCGGTTTTTCATTTAAGTTGTCTTATTTTCTGATTTTTGATGGCTTACTAAAATTCCATTACGATTCAGAATACTCTGTGCTTTTCTTATTTCTTTATCTACAGAGTCTAAACTATCTATTATTCTATTTTCTTTCTCTTTATCTACAAAGTATATTATAGTTACAGATAATTAATTCATGATAAAAATTTAATCAATATATTAAATTTTAGTGTACAGAATTTTATGATATATCAATGCCGCAATCCCGTAAATAGGCTCATCCGTTTCTTTATATGATACTGAGCTCGATGACGGATAATTAAATGATAAATTTTTAATTAAAAAAATGAAAAGATAGATTGTAAAATCTAGTAAATAATAATAGCAATAATAATAAATTTTCAAAATATTCTCCTCATGAGGAAATTTTTTATTATTTATCTCAACGAAAGTTTAACAGTCACTTGAGCATTAATTAAGTTACGCTTAGAAAATGCAATGAACATATTGTTATGTGTGTACGGGTTCGTAATCGAAAGAACTTAAGCGTAATCAAAGAAACACTTTTATCAAAAGAAACACTTAAGAGTTCTGAAACTTTTCCACCAAAATAGTCGTACAATTATTTACAGTTTTACACAGTATAATCAGTAGTTACACTTAAAATTACTAGTAACGTTAAACACAAGGTAGTGCAAAGCGCATTTAAGAGCGAAGCTAAGCATGAGATATCTCAGTGTTCCGAACTTAAGCTGAACTAAATAGCTAACAAAAACTGATAACAGGTGCTCTTTCCAGTCTTATATAGCTATCACACGACCGCCGAGAAATGTGTAGTACTTTTTGCTTCTCGAAATTATTGGAAGGCATATAAGGGCCGAATACGATTACAGTTACACAGAGCATCAATTACAGTTATTCAATTACAATATTCATTACAGTTATACAGGGACTCTACGCTGAATGGTCGCGAAGTTTGGTGATTGTGCGCCAAATGAGGCGACAAAATTAGTCGCTAAAACCGTGGCAATTTGGCGATATCTCACCAAATTAATGAGAGAGAGACTTTTACTAAATGTTAAATTGACTTGCCCCTGCATTTGTATTTTTCCGGCAGAACAGCTTTCCTCTGAGCTTTTCATGTTACATTATTCGGAAAATACAACAATTTCACTAAAATTACCTATTTATGTACAAAATCCTACAAACATCTGACACAAAATCTCAACAAGAAGCATCAGATTTTCTCCTCTGACAAAGTAAAAAAATTATAATTAATTTGTTTATATTAATTGCGACAATATTACCTAAATATTTAATCTAAATTATGTGTTTTACGTTCGACACAGAATAAAGAAATACAACCTCAATCTTCTCTCCTAACGTCCTCTAGAAATGTTCATAAGGAGACGACGAGAAACATTCCTAATCTTGAGGACGAGAAACATTCCTTATCTTCAAACATTCCTTATCTTGAGGATTTGATCCACGTATTCCGTAAATTACGTTTATGTGATTAACACAATTATATCGGGACACTTGCAAATCGCTAGTGAAACAGTTAACAAATTATCTCAGAATTTAGGGTTACCAATATGAATTGCATTGATTTATTAGCAACATATAGCATTAGTTCCTTGAATAACTCTATATTAATGCTAGATAATTAAGATAGAATATTTCCACTGATATATTCTCATATTTGCCCTTAAGTGCATGTAAGCTTTTCCAAATCGACTAGAGATACTTCACTTTAAGCACGCTAAGATCATGAAACCTATTTTTTGGATATTCCTTCCTAATGCTATTTGCCATTTAGCTACAAAAGCTAATGATATAATAGGCTTTTATAATTTATAATACATTAGCTTTTGGATATCTGCTAATGGATGCTTTGCTTTTGATCATCTAAGAACGAAAATTATTTTTCCAAACTTTCATCCCAGGGAGTTATTCTTTTTGGAATATGCCGTTAAAGCTTTCTTTTCGCCAGCTAAACTATTCTTACAAATTTCTAACCACATAAGCTGATCTTTTAAAATTTGCTAACGATAGCTATTCTTTTGGATATCTGCCAAAGAAAGCTTTCCTTTTGATCATCCAGAAATTGTAAGTTATTTTTCCAAATTTTTAGCCACGAAAAATTTTCTTTTGGACATTCTACCAATAATTTTTTTTTTTTTTTGACTATCTGACAACGAAAGCTAGTCTTTCAAATATTTAGATAATATTCTGTATATTTACAGATAAAGCTATTCTTTTCGTCATACACAATGGCAATTATTATTTGAAACTTCTAGCTACGAAATCATTTCATTTGGACATTTGTCTATGAAATGTTACTGTTTTGGGTTTCTAACCACGAAAATTACGCTTTTGCACATGTAACAAAAAAAGCTTTTTAGCATCTAATCACATATACTTTTATTTGCATTTTCTTTATCTGAGAATTTATTGTTGCGAAATCCTAAGCCTGCGATGAGGTAGCTTCCCCAAAAAGAGGGGTCCGGGGATGCTATCTTACCGCATCGAGAATGGCACCGCATTCGAGTTGCCAGATTTGGCGCGAAATCGTCTATTTGTTGTTATTTAGCATCAAAATTGGCGATATGCCATAGGGAGAGCGAGAACATTCTACAGCACATTCTTAGCGGTTTTCTCGGGAATAATCTGGAAGATAGGTTAAAGCTATACATGCGCTGCCTGTAAGGGGAGAAAATAGTGTCTTGAGTTCAGAGATCAGCTTGTGAGCGATCGACCGAGTCGGGAGCTGTACTTTAATTCTTTATCGTGAAGCTGACTTCAGCGTTATAGCCTGAAGACTGTACTGCTGATTGTTTCAGCATATCTGCCGTAGTTTTTCGACAAGTGTAAAAGTGTCTTTCGAATTGTCCTGTGTAATAGTTACTGGCGAATAAATTGTGTTTTGATGCTTCATCAAGTGTTATATCATCAATTCCCCAAATCCAACGAACTCGTAAACCCAACCTTATACAAATAAAAAACCTAGTGCCAAAATTACAAATGGAAAAATTTATGTTTTATTATGAAAGAAAAATATATTGTTTATTATATGATATTTACTGTTCTTCTGACTTTTGAATGACTTAGTATACAGATTTGAAAGTGTATAATATTTATTGAACATCTCTTTCTTTCCGAAAACAAAAACTTCCTGTATAATAAAAGTTTATTGGAATAAATGATTGATTCCCTACAATGCCAAGTTACGAATAATTTATCTTGCATTCATATACAATACATACCAAATAAATATATATTTTACGATATCCTAGCATATGTTTCTTTTCTGATTTCACACTGAATGAAATCCAGCATATCTCAATCTATCTGGACATTTTTTCTGAGATATCTTAACGCTGTCTCCAATTTCTTTTCTTTCCCAGGTAAGTGTATTTTAAAAATCCTAAAAGAAAAGTTTCTAAATCCTAAAAAAAAAGGTCCATTTTAAAACCCTAAAAAAGATCATTTTAAAACCCCTTTTTATTCTAAAACATTAGTCTCTTTCTTTTTTTAATTTAAAGTCCTAGACGATTATCTTCTAAATTTTATTACATTTCTTTGACGTATGTTATTTCTCTGTATAAAATTCCCCCTCCCCAATATGCTTCTCAGAGTTTCAACGAAATTTCAATCTTTTTCAATATAATAAGAATAATACATGGAAAAATGCATAAACATAAACTATTACCCAGCACTAATTTCAAGATATCCATTTTTAAACCTGTAATATAATTAGATACCTCTATGAGAATTACTAGCTTACCAAAAGTGATTTGTAACAGCTTGAAATCGACCCTTTGATTCTCAAGTTAAAGGTCAGTCTGCCATGTCAGTTTGAAAACGTTCGTTTACGTACGTGTTTCCTTCGTAAAACGATAGCTATAAAAACTATTACAAACAAATGTACAAATAAATGCTGTGCTATTTACTCTCGTACATACTTGATAGGATTTAAAATATTTTTATGCTGAGCGGAAAGCATTAGTAGTACCTATTATTGGATTTCCAAAATAAATAAATAAATATTCCTATTCAAGAAAGTTAACCATAAATAATAATACGGATATGAATATCTGCAGCTCAAATTAGAGACATAAATTTATAAAAAACTTAATATCTTTATTTTCCTAATTTACAACCACAGCAAAAGATAATAGCTTAATCTCCCAACTGGCAATCAATTACCACATTGCTGTAAAAATGAAACAACAGCAGCAATAATAGCTATTATGTTTAGAAATCGGGAAACGAAAAAATTCTAAAGTGCTCCCTTTTGCCATTAGGTTATTCATGGTAATTGCTCTTACTATTGAACGATATTTCCTAAAAATAGAAACTAGCTACCAAACGCAACGTAACTATATGCTGTCATTATTTACCAAATATCTCACAAGGATGCATATATTGTATTTATCTTGGACGTAACTCCGTGATGAAAAGAAAAAAAGACAAGCATTTTTGCAAATCGATAGTTTCATGTATAGCTCTAATCAATTCAGAAAGCCCGATTCAAGGGGTAATAAAATATAAGATATTAAGCAAGTCAAACAAAAAAAAAAAAGTTAGCTTCTATGTACAGAAAATGATTTCCCATTCAGCGATATTTAAGTGGGAGAGAAACATTAATTATAATTAGCGATCGATTGTAATCGATACTCATTTATTAAAAACTTTCAATGACCTTTTGTTGCAACACGTAAGGACAACGCTGAATTAATAAATTAAATGGTGTGGTGAAGGCAGCGAATCTCGGATCCTTCTAACTAGAATAAATAAAAATTACGTTAAAAATTTTCGAACGCGTGCATTTATTAAATAGAT